AAGTTGCTAGCCCCACGCCCAACCCTCGTGGGACGGCGGTAAGTTTCGGGACTTACAATGCTAATATCTGGGTTCGATTCCCTGCCGTGGACACAGAAGATAGCCCACTGTGGCTTTGCTCTAAAACAAACAAAGCTAACCTTTCAACTTATTCTAATATTTTACTCTGTTACTTTTTTAATAATTAAGTAAAACAAAGTAAAATATTAATTTCCCATTCAGCACTTTACTCCATAAAATTGTTTTTGTGGGAGGTTTTAGCTCAAATGGGGTATCGAACCCCTGATTTTAACATTATATCTACGGAAAGTTACTGCTGGCCCACCGGAGAACAAAGAAGTTTGTTTCAGCGCAAAGTCACATAATATACTGCCTGTGCTCTGTCTATAGTAAGGAATCGAAACCCGTATTTGACGTTGTAAACTTACCGCTGTCCTACGGGATGATCATATAAGTAGTGAGCGAATGAAATATTATGCAGGTCTTTAACTGGCAAAGTTGTAGTATTTGTTTGTTGTTGTTTAATTTCGCTCAAAGCTACTCTAGCCGTCCCTAATTCTTATACTAGAAGGAAGTCAACACTAATATCCCGCCAACCGTTGGGGTACTCTTTACAAACGAGTAGTGGGATTAATCGTCACTTTATAACGCCCCCAGGTCGAAACGACAAGCACGTTCGGGGACAGGATTCGAACCCACAATCCTCAAATTGCGAGTCGAGTTACCTAACCACTAGGCCAGTTGAAATATTAACCTAATAAAACACTTTAAAAATGTTTTTGTTCTTCTTTTAGGATGGAAAAAAAAGGTAAGATAGACGATGTTGTAGGTATTTCGTCAAATACAAATTATATTTACAAAAGAAACACATAGAATGTAAGAATGACTGCAATTCTTGGTTATATTAATTCATAAAAATGTTTTCAAGGAAATTAATCATTACTTTCATTCTAATGACTGCAATCTTTTCTCTTCAATTTACAAACATTTTGTTCAGAAGTATTAAACACAGAATCTCTTACTCAACCAAAGGTGAGGTAGAATTTTGAGGTGGTAGGGAAAGGAACAAGAAATTTCATTAATTGTTTATTTAAGATGTTCCATACACCGACGGGAAGTCTGGAATCTGCTTTATCCAAGTATGGAACCCATATAACGGTAACCTATTTCGGAGTGACTGCACCACCTTAACAGAAACGGCCACACACACGAACTGATTATTTATTTTTTGATTCTCAGACCCGAATTATGCGATCCTTCTTCATTGTCTGTTTGAGGTTGGAGACTATGTTCTTGATCTTCTGACCTGGCAGAACACTGCTGCTATTACTACTGTCCTTGTCAACATCAAACCTATTTTTGAGTGTTGCCACAGCATTTTTGGGCTTGATAGATAGACTTGCCTCAACAAGGGCTATCAAAGAGTCTATCGTGATCATTTCCATAGCGGCGTGCAGGTTGCAAACGGAACATCTCGAAACCTTGCACGTGCAGGCAATCGAGAAAATAATGGTGACTGTTGATGACACGACGAAGAATAGCAAAGTTCCATTCATGGTCGGCAGGGTTTGTTGAAGATCTACTGGGCTCTGGTCTGAAAAACAGAAGCAACGACAGGTGAAGAAGAAGAAGACGGCTTACGTAGCGGACCCGTCGGTTACCCAACAAGAAGTACTGGCATCAACTATGGGGTTTCTGCTGCTGATGTGGCCAGTCATAACTCGGTCAATTTCTGCCCGCTATGGAAATTGTAAAGTGTAATAGTCACATCCTGTTTAAGTTTCACCAAAGTCGAATACATCCCAGATTTTGTACGTCAGATCTCTGCCACCGAGACGTCTCTAGTTGAGGGAGAGATCCTGTGTTAAACAAAAACCTGGCACTCACTGCACCTTAAATGAGCTTATATTCAAGATTGAATTATAAAAATAACTATTAATTCACTAAACTCTCTCTAAAGGGTGTTAATCGGTTTTTACGAGCTTCAGATTGCTACTTCATTACTTACTGTCTCATGTGTGACTTTGACCAATACTTCAACGACGTTTTCCTTCAGTGACTTATCCTGCAGATATTTTCCTGCACCACTGATATCCAACTTCCCATTCTTTACATTCAGCGATATCTCCCCTGACACGTCCAAAAAGTCACGAGCTTCCACTGTGTTGTCTATTCTTCGAAAATGGGAGTTTGTAAATCTACTGTCGATGACCTGTTACACAGTCATAAATCTCGTCTTTTAGAAAAACATTTTAAACCAACTCATAAAATTAGTTTTCAATTTTTTTTCACTATTATATGAAACAAAATTTATCTTACGATGCATAACGTTTGATCTGGCGAACTATGATCTTTGTGTCGGTTGTTTATATGATATTACATCACATAATAATCCTAATCGAAGCTTGCTTTTTTTTTTGCTGTCCCTATTATGACATACACTCCTTTACTTTCACTCATGAGATTTTAAGATTACTAATGTAGTTCCCTCTCCCCACATTGACGCTTAGGTTGTTTGACCAGCTCCGGGGTCAAGAAGACTAGCTTACTGGTTCTCCAGTTTATGTGAATGATAGTAAATTTAATTTAATTAAAAATAGTATGAAATACAAATAATCGATGTTTAAATGAAAATGAATTAAGTAATTTTGTATTCTTAATCATTAGCCTAAAAACCTGAATTGCAGATGACTTAAGTACAAATTAATAATAATTACAACTAGCTAGCTTAATCTGGTTCACACCATAACAGTCGTTGTTCATGAAAGCAGACGATATAAATAGTGCCTAGAACATCAATCACTACGTCTGTCGTATTCCAGAGAGCTTGATGGTCCTTGCTGACGGAATATAGGCGCAGCGTGGTTGACATATTATAACTCATTCGCCATTGTATTCACTCACGGAATCTTCGGATTTTCCCATGTTTCCTATGTAATTAGCTGACGAATTTCATCAGCATAGTTTCTTTAAGAATTAACATACAATTTCAAAATGCGTTGTATGTGGTAAACAGCTAAAAGTGTATTTTTAGACAAAGAACCTTTACGCGGGTTTTAAGTTCGATTAAGTTAATATCAAGGATGAACGTAAAAAAGAAAAAAAGTGGGAAAAACTATAAAAAGTAAAAAAAACAGAGGAGAGAGATAGTTGTTTCGTATTACATCATTTGAAAGAGGACTTGATATTTTCAGCTTGTATTGCGCACGTGGTCTAAATGGCAACATCAGCAACTCTCAAGGTTCAGGTGTAGTAATCTCTTATTTTTAACTCCTGACCAGAGTGTTTTGTTCATATTATTCCGCCAACTGAATGTAGAGCGTGTTCAACGGGATTACGTCTCGAAACTTGGACCCTCCTATCCATAGCTCATCATGCTAGTAACTACGATATTGTCAAATTTTTGTTGTCAAATATCAGGTTTCTTTTCAACAGAAAGAAGTCCAAAGCAGCCCATTTCATCCTTTTTTTATTAAAACTGTTTCACTGAAATGAATACTAGAATCGTACAATTGTAATACTATAAGCACAGAACTGGAAGTCTATTAAAATAATATATTTCAAGTAAAATTAACGCAAGACAGAAATATAAACACTTTATAGTACGTCATCTATCATACAGAAACAAAAATAATATTCTACAAGATAATTTATAAACAGTGGCGACGCCAATGAAAGGCGAGGGGTGTTGGGCGTCACCCCTAAATTTGTTTGCTTCCCCTAAAATTTTCACCCAAAAGTTTAGTAGAAGCTACAGCTCCCAGAAGACAATATCGTCAGTTGCTAGGCGACCTTAAACAAGGAAAACCCACCCAACTAAACATTATCCAATCCCTGGTTAACCTTGTTGTCTTTGTAGCCAATCACAGTGAGAACTGGACCGTTGGCAGCGGCAACTGCTAAAAAAAGGTATCTATGATATTAAACAAAACTATTTTATAAATTAGTAATGTATTTACTTATTTTGCATATTTGTTATGAGCTTGTGTTAGCTATATTCCGTGGTATTGTATTTAAATTTTCGTAAAGTTTACAAATTTCCTGTCAATATAATTAATTTGCAGAGTGGGTGGGAAAAAAGAAATGCGCTAAACCGGTAAAGAACCTTGTACAACAGACAAGCATGTTTGTATTATTAATGTTTCACAGCAAAAATAATCATTCTTTCTCAAAGCTTATTAATTTATTTTTCATGGGAGTTGTTGATGGTGGGAGTTTAGCAATTTCGTTAGAATATTGTTGCGTCATCGAGATCATGTGATTCTCACGCTCTCTACTTTCTAGAATTATCCTGTACTTTGGCGAATGTTCTAGTTCTTACTAGATATAGGGTAGGCGGGTATATATAAGAGGGGACAACGTGACGCGGTAATGTAATGTGTGTGTAGATAGTGAGTAATTGAACTGCAGTCAGAAGTATTATTGACGTTTGTTGTCATAGCGTTAGTTTAGCGCGATTGTTGAAGTTGAGTGTATCGGTAAAGTTATATTCGGAAAGAATAAACCAGTTTTATTAAGTAAAGACTTGTGTCGTTAAAATTTCGTCGGAACGAAGTTACGGAAAAATCAATTAACAAACGGAGACGTAACAATATTATATTTGGAAGTTTTCACGTTTCTGGTTTTCGAATAACAATTTAACACTATATAATTTCAATATTTTTTTTTTTTTTTTTTTTTACAC